CCTACTCTTCCTAGAAAAGTCACTGACGAGGCTGTTAGTTTTCCCACAGACCCTGGGATATGAGATTTCACTTTTTTATTATTTTGTTTTATTTTATTTTACTCTTTCAACCTCAAAGAGCAAGAGAACTCCAGTTGACAGCCAACTAATAACTATTTGAAACCCCATAAAGCAGAGAGGGGATATGGATAAAAAGGGAGAAAGGTGTGGTAAGATGCTACAAACTATCCAGTTTGATGGACATAAATAATGTTTTGTAAGTAACAATGTTTCGTTCATTAGGCCAGGTATTCATCTCTTAACAAAGAGTAAGGTATATTGCAATTCCCACATACAGCTCCCTACAACCGCACCCTCCATACAATCAGGATAGATGCAGACAGCGTCGAATCATTTGGGGACTCTCACAGAAGTCCTTAAATGCAGCCTTCACCAAAAAGAGGGTATATTGCACATTCAGATGCCCAACCCATGACAGATATGTGCTGTGAGTGAGAAATAAATTTCTATTGTCAGCCACCAAGATGTCATTGTCAGATTCTTTAAAGAAAGATGGTGTAAGCAGGCATTTGCTGCATGGAGGGTGCCCAGTGCCAGGAAGTGTGAATTCTTGAGGGGTGGCACCAGGAGACCAGAGTTTCTTGGGCCCGTGGAATCACAAACTTGCCACAATGATAGTAAGTGGAGACCCCCTGGTAGTCTGTTTCATTGTTCACTCATAGTGGTGGCCTCTCCCAAGGGGTGCATTATAGGTCCTTGACCTGTTGATGAATAACTTGGCCAGGTGATTCTTTTAGCCACAAAAAGTGACATATGTTGCAAATTTAAGAGATAGCATGGTTCACTGTGCTCTCTTTACCTTCTGCCATGACGACCCATAATACTGCAATGTTTCACCAGCCTGGTCCCTGAGGAAAGATGACATGGAGCACAGTCAACCAAGGATGTGTGCTGGCCGTGACAAGTAAATCTTCGCTCTAGTTGTGCATGAAGAGTTGTGGTTGGTTGTTATTGCAGCATAATTAGATAAACCCATATCCAGATATCTGCCAAAACAGGACTGTTGGATGTGTACTTCACTTACTGTCATTACTGGGTGGGAATTGCAAGCCCTGACATCAGGCAGAGATAGAGGTCCGAGGGCTGCTGAATAGCCAGTGGCTGCTGGCCGACACTCCCCAGGTGCCACCCAGATGTGGACATTGGTTAGTAAAACCATCAGAAGACAGCTTGGGGAACTACTGCTCTGTTAGCCCTTGTCCACATCTGACCTGTAGCTTGTGGACCCTGTAAGGCCCAGACCTCAATGGTAGTGTTGTGATGTAGTGTAGTGCAATGTGAGTGTAGTGATACCTAAGAAATTGCTGTAGGGCACATAACAGACATTTATTAGACCTCTGAGCTCTTTCTATTAAAAAAAAAAAAGAATTCCAGGAAGCAGTTACCTGAGGATGAGAAATAGGGAAAGCAAAGGAACAAACAAAAAATACATGAGATTTGGAAACTGAAAGACTGGTTTGGATTTCAGCTTCCCTACGCACTAGCTGTGTGACTTTAAGCAAGTTACTTCACCTCTCTGAGCCTCATCTGAAAAATGTCTGCGAAATGGAGAACTACCTATTAACCACTCCTGATGAGCAGGGATTCCCTCCTAAAAACCCTTTCCCCCTCCCCATGGAACCAGTATTAGTCATCTGGTTGTTGANCGAGCATGAGCCCTCATCTGCTTGCTGCAGGAGCCAAGGGAAGAGAAGTCAGCTGAACATGATCTCTGACCTCGATGCGGGGAGGGGCGGGGAGGAGGGAGGGAGCGGAGGCGCAAGAGACACGTCAACAGCAGAGGCAAACACACCGTGGTCAGTGCTGCGGCAGGAAAGCAGAGGTCCGTGGGGAAGAGAAGTCAGCTGAACATGATCTCTGACCTCAATGCGGGGAGGGGCGGGGAGGTGGGAGGGAGCGGAGGCGCAAGAGACACGTCAACGGCAGAGGCAAACACACCGTGGTCAGTGCTGCGGCAGGAAAGCAGAGGTCCGTGGGGAAGCCGCCCCGGTGTTCCAGCCTGCGGCGACGCGAGCTCATCGTCCTACAAAGCAGCCCATGAACGCTGCCGACTAAGATTTCCTAGCGGCTCTTGCCCCCACGAAAAGTCTGCTTCCTCGAGTTCCCCAGTATATGCTCCCACTCCTCAAAATAAGGCTGCTGCTCTCCCAAGGCAGCTGTCGGCTCTCCGGGACCTACTCTCCCGTCCCCCCCTCCAGGGAAGCCTTCTCCAAGCGCTTCCTTCACACAGTTCTTACACGACAGGGTCTGTTTGGGGGTCTGGGGTCTGCGTCGCGGGTCCGCCCCCCTCGCCAGCCCTCCGTTCCCATAGCAACCAGCTCACCACTTCGCGCGCCCGGCTGGAGAAGTCGCCTTTGGGCCGGGGGCTCCGGCGGAACAACTCGTCGCGGCTGCCATCGACGCCGCTGCCCACCGCCACTCCCAGCGCTTTGTTGCGCGTCTTCACGGTCTTGACGCTAGCCCGGAACAGCAGCGTGATGTCCACCGCCATGGCGACCCGCACCTACGGCCCCCGACCCCGCCGGCCCACGTCAGCAGGAGGCGACCACGGCGCAAGCCCGGCCGCTGGAGGACTGTTCCGGCTGCGCACGCCTCCGCCCGCCAACGGGGACGCGAGAAGAAAGGTTCCGGCCTCCGCAGGATGAACGCAGCGAGAGGAGAAAGGTTCCGGCCTCCGCCCACGCGCGGGACGGGTTCCGGGAGCCTCCCGAGCCGGGAGACGACTACACCTGTGCCCCTAGCTCCTCCCAGAAAACCTGGTCCGGCTTGGCGGCGCGAGGGTCCCGGAGCCCCGAGCCCCCGTGAGCCGGCTGAGGGCGTGCGGGCCCCGGGGGCGAGAGAACGGAGAAGGCAGAAGGCTCGATCCTTCGCGTTGTCTCCCGCACAGACGGAGCCCGGCCGCGCGGGTTGCCGGGAACCAGAGGCGACCCGGCCTGACCTTTGACCTCAAGGACTCACCTTGTGCGCGACCGAAGCTCGGCGCGAGAAGGTGACAGTCTGGGGTCAATAAGTGCTAGGGCAGAGCAGGGGTGCGCGGCGCAGAGGCCTTTCGTTTTCCGCCTCCAGCCTCCAGAAGCCAGTACCGTCCTCGGCGTGGTATTGTGAGGATTCAATGCGATAACACGTGAAAAATATTTTGGCCCTGTTGCCTGGCTCCTAGTGACCAGCACACATGAGTTACTGTTGTTA